GGAAGTTTTCTGCCAACAAATCTTCAACAGTTCTCTCTGTATTTTCTGTTATACCCCCCGTTCTGGTACTCCAATCACTCGTAGGTTATTCTTGATAGAGTCTCACATAATTCTTATGGTTTCTTCATTTTTTTTAATCCTTTTATCTGATTTTTCCTCAAATAAGTTGGTGTCAGGTGCTTTATCTTCAGTCTCACTAATTCTGACTTCCATTGTCTCAGTTCTGCTCCTGTGACTTTTTGTTGAGTTGTCTTAATTCTGAAATTTTGTTGTTAATCTTCTGGATTTTTGTGTGCTGTCTCTCTGTGGATTCTTACAGCCTGTTAAATTTGTTGTTATTCTCTTGTATAACCTTCTTAAGTTCCTCTGTTGCATTGTGTCTATGTTCCTTGGCTTCTTCTGCGTTTTGCCTGATCTCCTTCCTGATCGCTTGAAGATTTCTCTGTTAGATCTTTTGTATTCTACCTCCTGTAACTCCAGGAAATTCTTCATCTAGAGGATGTCTTGATTCTTTTTTTTGGGAGCTTGCCAAAGCCACCATAGTCTGCCTCTTCATGTGATTTGATATGGACTGTTGTCCTCTAGCCATCAATAAGTTATTGTATTTATTTATTTACTGTTTGCTTTTTGTGTCCTAGCTTCTTTTGTTTCGTTTTGATATACCCAAATAGGCTGCTTGTGTGAGCTAGTTTGATTATTGGCACCTTTGAAGCTCTAATGTCCTGTCACCAGGTGGTTAGATCTATTACTAGGTATGCTAGCTCAGGAGTCTGTTTACTTTTTTTGTATGGATTCAGCTCAGGTGTTCAGTTAGTCACCAAGTATGTGGTGCAGGCTCTCACCTACAGTCCTAGATGGGCAGTGGTGATGGAAGTCGGCACAGGTATCTGGCTGTGGTAGGGGGTCACACGCTGAGGAGGCAGGGGCTGACAGTTCCCCCTGAGCGTCTGGGAGGAAAGCGTGTTCCTATCCCCTAGAATGCATAGGTGGGTGGGTTTTGCAGCCTGAGTATGAGTACCCAGTGCTGTTTGCTGTAAGGACTGGGAGGTACCACTTATTCTTGGACCCCTCTCACAGCTGGCTAAGTTGCCATGGTGGAGCCACCAGTCATCAGGCCCCTGATGTGGGTAGGTGAGGACCCTGCCTTATGGGCAGAGCAGTGTCAAATGTCACAACCCTGCCACTCCACCATATAGCTGATACAGCTGAAGTTAGGCTTCAGGTATATACCCTGTTGGACTGTGGTAATGAGGGACTGCGCTGTTGAAATGCGCCCACATATGTCTATGCAGGTGTGAAAGGCGTTCAAAGTCCATGGACCCGTTATCCCTGTGCGTAGGGAGCTGTGCCTGCCCTGAGTTCCCGGCTTAGGGAAGCCCGCAGATTATTTTTTCCTATTTGTTAATTTGTTCCCTCTCCATGGCTGGGAGAATGGCTGAAGGCGTGACGGGTTGTACTTCCAGCCCAGGGGATGAGGCAGTCGTTGAAGCAGGCCCAGGACCTGGTGCATAGTGGGGAAGGGGCAGGTAAATGGCAGAGAGGTTCTTCCCAAACAGTGTTTTTTGATCTGCATGGTAGGTTAGATGCAGATACTTACCTTTTGCCGATTGAGCGCCGCTTTTCATTGGTTCTGGAGGCTTAGATTCTCTTCTGCTTGGTCTCTTCCGATGTGAAAGAGACATCCCAAGTGCCACTGCTTGCCTCACACGTGCAGGGTACTGGTTCCTGCTAGGCCAGGCCTGGCAACTCCTTGCCACTTCTGAACTCTCTATCCCTCCCCCTGCCACTCAGTTTGATTCCTCAACTTTGCCTTTGATGTTCAGGGCTCCTAGATTGTCATATATAATGGATTCACTTGTTTTTTTGGGTCTTTATTGTAAGCGGGACCACCGGAAGCATCTGACTACTCAGCCATCTTGGCCCTGCCTCCTTTAGCACTGAATTTTAATCATCTTTTAAAAACCATTGTCTGCCTGGATTTTGATTTTTTTTTTTTTTAAACTGTTTCTGCCAAAGGGAATTGTGGGCTTTGAAGATCTGAGCCATTCCTGTGGCATTGGTAACACTGCTTCTTGCCCTCATTAGGTCCTGGGTCCAAGCCAGAAGCCTCTGCAAAGCCGCCTTCCAGACCTGCGGATAACTATGATAACTTTGTACTGCCAGAGTTGCCGTCTGTGCCAGACACACTACCTACTGCATCTGCTGGTGCCAAGACCTCAGCTTCCGAAGACATTGACTTCGATGATCTTTCCCGGAGATTTGAAGAGCTAAAAAAGAAAACATAGGCCTTTAAACCAGGCCACTTCCAAGTTCTGGGAGTTGGGACTGAGCAGCTTCTTTTTGTAACGAGGAATCTCCATGAAATTCCATTTCATCTCTTAACCATCACTGAGTGTACTCTTCCTGTGGGCTCTCTTCCGGCTCTACCAACTTCTGCTGCTTTCCAGTTCTCTGTTGCTCCTAAGAGACTAACGACTGGAGACAGGCTAGAGCAGCTGCCTTCTGGTCTGGCAGCTGTGCTTGTCTGTTTCCTCTCGGTGTGACCCAGGTTCTCTCCTGGCCTGTCCCACAGTCCCTTCACAGGAGAGTGAGAAGGTGACAGCATTGTGGGGAGAGCTGCCATTAATGGCTGGACAGTGGAGAAGAGCACTTCACAGAGTGTCTCGGCCCTGTGCTGAGTGCCAGACAGAAACACACACCTCTCTGTGCAGAGGGATTTGTGGTGAGAGAGAATCAAGATGTTTTCTTGCTAATATGAGTAGGAGAGAGATAAAGTGACTCAGGAAGCCAGCATAACGGTTCCTGGAAGCTGGGCCCTCTCATTGGCATATACACTACTCCTTGCTACAGGGCACTGTTCCACCTGGATCCAGTTGCAAAGTTTAATGGGAAAGCTGATGGCCTTTCTTAGTTCTGCTGGATTCTCAGGGAAGCCCTCTGTGGCCTTTTGCTTTGAGTGCTGTGTTTCCTTTTTACCAGAGGGCAGCACTGTAAATTCCTGTTTTCCCTTATAGAATGTTCAGTTGGATTGCATCACCGGCAGAAGGACAGGCCACAGGTTGGGCAGAAATTGCCATTCAAGGCTAGGATGGGCGTCCAGCTGCCTTAATTTAAGTACCCAAGTCTCTTGGGTAGTGAGCTGGAAAGCCCAAAGAAGAGAGGTACTTGTTTTCATTTGAAAACTTTATGATTGAGTGGAACTTTTAAAAACATCCCAGATAATTTTTTTTGGTGCCCATGTGGCTGTAGTTCACTGCTTCCCTGGATGGATGAGATTCTTATTGTTGTAACTTATGTGCTCCTTTACTCCCTGTCCAAGGCCATCCGTCCTCACACGGGTGGCTTTGGGATGGGAAGATGTGACTTTCTCTTCCTTGTAGTGTATAATTGTTTCAAGCAATTTTTCTTTAATGTTTCTGATTGGTTTGTATCTCATAGCTCAGTAGCTGCTAATAAAGTTAAAGACTCTGCTTTCTCCACTGTTTGGTGAAATGAAGGACAAGTTTGGATTTTAGTAGACTGTTTTTTAAGCAAGGAACCCATGCTGGTGCATGAGCTGGACGTCAGCTTTGGCTCCATCAGGAATGTGGGTGTCTGGAGTGGGAATGCAGCCCATTTGACCTCTATTTAAGCCCAGATCATATCTGAGAGTTTCCTTGGTTACTGCTCTGTGTGACAGGGCTCCCCATCAGCCAAACCTAACGCTTGTATCTTTATTTTGATAAGCTGCAGTGAGCTCACTTCTTTTCTGAATCCTCCACTTCCCACAGCCATCCTGGAACTTGGGTGAGGAGTGTTCTGTTACTTGCTGCTTGGCAACAGAGCTGGTGTCTCCTGTATCATTCTTGCAGTGTTAGCTCTGTCCTGGCTACTGCCAGGATCCGTAGGCATAGGAACTCGGAGCCAAGGTGATTTTAATTCCTGACTTACAGAATTAAGAACAAAACATATTACATACATCTATAATTTTCTAAGCTGTACCATACAAAGATAAGCATTAACGTGCTAAGAATAAGCAGCAGTAATAAGCTCAGATGGGAGATAGCAGTATTAAGAGAGGCCGTCATCTGAAACCTCAGTGCCAGTGCACAGTGCTGTCATGGTGGCTTGCTCAGATGAGAATGTGTTCTGGTGCTGCTGGATTCCTAACAAACTTGAGAGCTTTTGTAGCAGCGTATCAGTGCAGCTTCTTGCTGATCGTATTTGAGAAAATTGAAATCACTATTAGTGTTGGAGGGAAAAAGTACTAAAGATGCAAAATTATTTCCTTTAATGATTGGCTGTCAGTTGGGGTGTTTCCACTACTTAATGGTTGAGCGTCAGCAATTTACAGGACAGTGGATATAGAACATAATGTAGTATTGGTAAATTGGATTTCCTCAGAAAGTGGCAGAGCTGTTGAGGCTAATGAAGGGAATATGGTGATACTGTGCATTAAGTCAGTTTGTAATCTAAGAGCATCTACAGTTAAAATTTTTCTATTAGTGACATAAATCATGGTACAGTATATATAAATTACTGAGCCCAGAGAGTTACCTACCTTAAGAGACTTCCTTTCTTTACCAAAGGCCATTAGAATGGCAGAAAACAAAAAGGTTAATGATCACAAGTACCATCAAGATAACACTGGTGAGGATCATCAAGGACCCTAGGACTGGGTCTAAAGCAATAACCTGGGAAGACGACAAAAACACAGTGGTTGATACATTGAAGGAGTGACTATTTTGTTTCCACTTTAAAAACAAGCTATATGCTAAAAGATTTCATGTATGGTGGAAACTAGGGAGAGGTAAAAAGATTACTAAAAAAGGAAAATACTTTTAAGTGGACAGGAGAGCACAGTGGCTGACATGGAAGGATGTTAAAATAATAGTAACTTCAGGCGTTTCACAAGAAGAAGAGTTGGAAAGGAATTGTAAATTATTCAATTCCCATTTGGGTGTTTGCAATTCTGGAAAATGTAAACATAAAAGCTTCAAGGGGCAGCAAAAGCATGTTGAAAGAATAAATGTTTACCAGAAATGATGACAACTGTCTCTGCCAAGCCAAGAAATTTCTACTGTAAACACAGGAGCATTCCAATAAAATTTAACAGGTTATCCACAGAAAACGGTTTGGCTTTTGTTTATGTTTTTTTCTTTTATTATCATTTTTGAAGATAGAAATACTGAGTTCTGCCATTGGTTTTTTCAGCTGAAGAGACCATTTCTCAAATTCAGGGCTTATTAGACTGGGTTCCATAACAATATTCTTTTTAGGTGTTCTTTTTAACAGGTGATGTTTATTTTCCCTTGGTATTGGCCTTCTTTTACTACTGCCGCTAGGGCATTATCTTAAAAAAACTCAGAGGTTGAATACTTACAACGAACATCACCCTGATGGAAATCTATATGACAAAATATTTCCAAGCACCAGCCTATCATCCACTTACCTTAAAGTGCTTTATTGTAATAATTCCAGAACAACCAAATAATTTGGGTAGTGTCTGAGTTTATGATGCAAGAATTTTTCTCAGTAAGTTTACTCCATTTTCCCCTTTACATTGCACCATTATGTTGAGAGCAGAAAAGTTTTTATTAAAAAAATTAAAATGTAGGTGTTAGTAAAAGTTCATTATTCTGATTGCTACTTCCTTTAGAACTTTAGGATATGAAGTGCACTGGGGGTGAGGACTTCATTCCCTAGTGATTGGAGGTAGGACCACAGCACAATAGTCCAGCCAAAAGAGGAGTTCTACTCTTTCTCAGAGCTTAGGAAGGTGGTAACTTCTCATATTAAAAGCTATGTTAGCTTATGTATTGTAGTTTGTAGCCTTTGAATTCTGGATTCTCAGAGTAATTAGCCTTGATGAAAATCTTGCCAGATTCAGTCATTCGAATTGCAATTTTTTTCTTCCTTGCCCAGTTCTGTTCTTTCCATACTAGTTTTTGGCCACAAATCCTCGTCTGGGTTTCCCACTTTATCTTTTATGTTGAATAGGAAGATAGGGGTTTGTTTGGGTGGTTCTTGGGGGAGAGTAATAGGCTCTCGAAAATGGGTACAAGCTATAAACAGAAATAATGCTTTCTTCCTGGAACTGTACCTTCCTGTTTTTTGTTTTTTGTTTTTTTTTAAGTCTCTTCCTTTGTACACTTTCAAAGAGTCATTGATAAATAAGCAGCAAACCCTTAATGTTAACCTGACCCAGTGTGAGAGCATAAGTTCAGGCCCAGTGTCCTTTGGCAGCAAGAAGCGAGGAAGGTGGAACTCAGTGTTTACAAAAGGGCAGGTTTCTGAAAGTGATGGCAACTCAAAAGCTGTAAGCATAGGTAGTACCATAAAACAGGCAAAGGATCTAAACTCCCTTTTCCAGTGTGCAGTGGTTCACTAGGGGCAGCTTTTATAAGCAAGTCTTCCCTTGTTAGATATATAACTAAATAGGATTGTACAGGGAAACCAGGATGGGGTTTTTTTACCTCCTTGTGATGAGAGATTCCCATCAGGAGACTTTTAACAACAGTCACTATGGAGCTGAAAAAAGTTCTGTCGTCAGAGATGTTCTATCCAAACAGCAAGTTAAACTGAACAGAGGGAGAAAGGCCAGTCAGCAGGTGAGAGAGCAGTGGGAGCCGAATACAGTTTTAAATGTCCTGAAGTGATTGATGGTGATGAGGCCAACACAGAATCAGTGGAACGGAAATTAAATCGTTAGTGGCCATTTAAATTACTATGCCTAAAAAAGTACGCAAAATTCCTATGTAATTATAGTGCTTTTATATAAATTTATTTGACCTTCTCATTATCCTGTAAGCTAAATTTTATCCCCAGTTTAGAGATAAGGAGCCGAATGTCCAGTCTGGCAGTTACTAACAATAAAAATCCTGTAAAAACCCTCAGGAAGCCTTCAAGCTTCCTTTAGAAATAAGCAGTATTGGGGAGTGGTCTACTCTGGGGTGGGTCTAGGAGGAAAAACATCCTGATTAGAAGTAGCATGTGGTGGTAAATGGAAGGACAATTGTGGGTAGATTCTGGGGAAGACAAGAAAGGAGTGAGGATAACGGATTAGGATAGACTTCCTGTTAAAAGGTGGAGGAATAAAACATAACAGTTTTCCTCTACTCCCTCATGAAAGGCCACTACAATGACAGTGAAAGGATAAAAAGGACCCGAAGATAAAGAAGAGGAGGGCAGATGAGAGTGACAAACTGTTAAAAGCCAGAAAGGAAATGAATGCGCCGACTTAGCCAATTTAAGAAAGTTGCAACTTAAGCCAGCAGGGTAGAAAACCGAGAAACAAGCCAATTCTTAGCACAAAACCCTAAGAAGGCTCAGGAATTGGAGGCAGCAGATACCTTGGAACTGAAAATAGGAGAACTGACTGAAAGTCTGAAATAAGCATTAGATGCCAGATCTGCTCAACACTTCACAACTAGGTACTTGCTACTCATCTTGCATTCCACCACCCCAAGACTAAAGGTTTATTTCCTAGTGATGTTGAACTAGAGGGAATCTGGATTCAAGGACATCAGGTACATCTGAGAGTAGTGGTTTACTGAAAAAGGGAACTAAGGGAAAGTTTACATAATGCACAGTGAGGCCCTTCCCAATGCCCTTCCCTTAGCTGCCTCTGAGAAGTCTAACAAGCTATATCCTCAAGGCAGGAGTTTCGGTGATGCCTCTCTGTGAATACAGACCTGCTGCTCAAGAGAAAAGACATAAATACTGACAATTGGGGTTACCTAATGGCATGACCCAGCCAGTTCATACTACAGTTAAACCTACAAGCTCCCTCCATGCCCACAAAGCTTCTGATTAGTGTTTTATTACCTTTGTACTGTCTCCCTCCTAAATACAAAATGCCAGGCACTAAAACATTAAAAACTGGAGACAAAAAAATAAAAGAAGCTCAAAGGAATTAGAGAAGTGAGGAGCAGAAGGAAAAAACTAACCTATAATTCTCCAACAGTTAAGAGAGGATATCGCATTCATAAAAGAACAACAAAAGGCTATGGAAAAAGAATATGAGAACAAAATTTTGAAGCTCAACAAAGACACGGAAGATCTAAATGCTACAATCAACCAACTTGATTTCAGGGACATATACCAAACACTCCACCCTACAACAACCAGGTATGCTTTCTTTTCCAACGCACATGGAACATTCTCCAGAATAGACCACATGTTAGGCCATAAAGCAAGCCTTAATGGAATCCAAAGCATCAAAATATTACAAAGCATCTTTTCTGACCATAAACCCATAAAAGTAGAAATCAGTAACAGAAAAAGCAAGGAAAAAAAATCAAACACATGGAAACTGAACAACACCTTGCTCAAAAACTATTGGGTTATACAAGCAATTAAGGATGGAATAAAGAAATTCATAGAATCAAATGAGAATGAAAACACATCCTACCAGAACCTTTGGGAGACAGCAAAAGCTGTGATCAGAGGTCAGTTTATAGCAATAAATGCACACATCCAAAAAGAAGAAAGGACCATAATCAAAACATTAACCCTACAACTTGAACAAGTATGAAGAGAGCAGCAAAAGAAGCCCCCAGGTGCCAGAAGAAAAGAAATAATAAGAATTAGAGCAGAATTAAATGAAATAGAGAATAGAAAAACAATTGAAAGAGTTAACAAGACCCAAAGCTGGTTCTTTGAACAGATCAACAAAATCGATAAACCACTGGCCAAACAGACAAAAGAAAAACAGGAGAGGAAGCAAATAACCCGTATAAGAAATGAGATGGGTGATATCACAACAGACCCAACTGAAATTAAAAGAATAATAACAGAAAACTATGAAATATTGTACTCTAACAAATTTGAAAACCTAGAGGAAATGGACGAATTTCTAGAAACTCGCTACCTACCTAAACTAACACAGAGGTAGAACAACTAAATAAACCCATAACAAGAGATTGAAAAGGTAATTAAAACACTCCCAA